TATAACGTCCCTACCACTCTTTCATAAAAGACCGGACTCATCTCTTTTAAATCGATTAGGTGGTTAGCTGGCTCCCCAATCCAGGCCGGGGTAAGTCCAGACCTTGCACTGCATTAGTTAGGATCGGACGACTGTGGTCCAGTGTCCAAAATAGATTTAGGATCCAGGGCAGATCTTTGATTATAAGACCCTAAATTTCGGGAATATAGTCCCAACTAATAAAATACTCAACTCTAATTAAAGTTTCATTTCAATCCTAAAACGTAAAGCCCAACACTTAGATTAAGTTGGGATACTTCCGGATGGTTCCGGAATCTCAAAGTATCCCCTACCTCTCTTCCTTTGAATCTGTTAATAACTGCTCAATCTTGCTCCATTCCCTTTTGATTTTCCAATAATTCTATTCAGGCTTTGATATCACTCCTAGAAACTCTAACAAAATTCTGCCACCATTTTAATCGGGAGTTTTCGTAGGGGATTTTTGTCTCTCTCTACGATGTAATTAACTACGAGGGCTTGCGCTCGTAGGAAGTTTGGAACCACATACACCTGATTTTAAAATTGATTTTAAAATTCCACTAGATTTCTTTGGGAAAACTTAAAGAATGATCGTCGTCGTTGCATTAGAAGAATTATCGTAGAATGGTGTCATTTCTCTTTGGAGAGATACATCCTTCTTCGATAAGGCTTTGGATGTGAATGCGGCGATCATACTTCTTGAATATTGTAGTTGGGTATTTAGCTGAACCCTGTTTTGTCCCTTCGGGGCCATATGAGGTTCTCTTTAGACCCGATTATAATATTCAAGATGAGTTTATATAATTCTGAGCCTGAACACCGTTACGAAAGTTTATCTTTTTCCCCCGGGATGATATATTCTTTCTAACGAGTTGATTCGACCTTGGAATTAGAGCTTAATCTTAATTTTGAAATCCCCAAAGAAAACTAATATTTTTTTAAAAAGTATGTTTTCAAAATTCCATTAACAGTTGTGGGTTGATTGGCCATAGTTGTGAGAATAATGGTGAACCAATAAAGCCCAAAGGATCTTCTTCAAATGATGTTGATGTGAACAAACTGGAGCTCAATAAAACAGTTGTCTCGATTGGCACTATGCAACCTGAAAGGCCAGACGGGTTTCGAAATTGGACACAAGTAAACTATGGAAAAAAAAGACATAGAATTGATGCAACAAAGAAAAAATTTCTTAAGAATTCTATTGTTCCTTTAAAGAAGGTCTTTGTTCCAAAAATTGGCAATAATAGTTCTAATATAACAGTGGATCCAGTGAGTATTTGCTTGAAGCAGGATTCAGTTCTACCCAGTGCCAGGTTGAAAGAAGTAGCTGAAGGAGATACAATTGAACAGACGGTAGAACAACAATCAGATATTATTGGAGTTAATCAGGTGGAAGTTACCAATAATAAATCAACTATCTCGGTTCTTAATAGTTTTGATGTGTTATCCAAGATGGAAGATATGAAAGAGGTGGGGAAGGGGGAGCAAAGTGCAGATGGAATGATTGAAAACGAAACAGAAGAAGGTGAAATCATAGTATGCAACTTGGATAACTACAAGGAAGTAGAGAATGTAGTTATTTTGGATGCTGAATTGGAGGAAGGAGAGAAGAAGAACGATTCTTCTTCTATTTCTGAAGCAATTGAGACTTTTCCCTTCAGGGATAGTATTAAAAATGCAACAACAGAAAAATCTTCTTCAGGAAAAAAGGTAAAACTTCTCAAAGAACTGAAGTCTCTTGGCCCGGGGAATATCATCTCAAGGAATAGGAAAACTGATGGGAAAATTTCTAAAAAGATTGGGGGTCATTCTCCCATCTTTAAACAATGACTTCACTGGTTTTTTGGAATTGTAGAGGAGCCAAGAAAGTTGAGGCTGCTCTATATCTAAAGGAGATTATTAAGGATAATAATGTGTTATTGATTGGGTTGTTGGAAACAAAAATTAGTAACTTGGAAAACTCTCAGGTGATGAACTTCTTGGGGAGCAACTGGGATTATTTCATGGTACCGTCTAATGGGATATCTGGTGGTTTGATGATGTTATGGAGAAAAGACCTGGCTGAGTTCTCTGTTATTGAAGAATCATCCCAAGTTATCATTGGGATATTGAATGTTTTTAACAAGAATATTTGGCTGGTTGCTGCTGTTTATGGAAGCACTAAAGCTCTAGAAAGGAAGGCGATTTGGGAGTGCTTGGAGAAGCATTGTTCAAATGAGATGCCTATGGTAGTGGGTGGAGACTTTAATTGTGTATTGTCTCATGAAGATAAGAGAGGGGGAAAGAATTTTGTTTTATCTCAAGGTGATAAAGATATGAAGAATTTCATGATGAACAATGATCTTCATGAAGTGGAAGCGTATGGGCCCAAATTTACTTGGTGCAATAATAAAATGGGTGGAGCTCGTATTCTTGAAAAACTGGACCGTTGTTTAATCAACTCCATTGCTTTAAACTATATTCACATAGCTCGGGTTAAGCACTTGGCTCGTATTGCCTCGGACCATTGTCCAATCCTCCTGGAGATTTTCAAGCCAGCTGAAGTCTTTAATAGAAACAATAGGTTTGAGGAAGTTTGAACTTCTTACCATGGAGCCAAATCAGTGGTGTTAAAATACTGGAAATTCGGTAAGGGTGGTGACCTAGCAACTTCTTTGAACTTAAAGTTCAAGAGAACACTGAAAGCTTTACATTATTGAAGCAAAGCAAAATTTAAGAATCTCAATAGGTTGAGGGATGAACTGAAGAATGACATTCTGGAATTACAAAAAGAGGAAGCTGACGGTATAATTTCATTTCAAAATCTTTAAATCCTCGAGTTCAAGATCAATGAGCTCAACATCACTCTAGCCCGACTCAACTCATGGTGGAAGCAAAGAGCTAAAGCAAGATGGATGGAGGAGGGGGATTCGAATTCTTCTTTTTTTCATGCTTATGCCAATGCAAGGAGTAACAATTGGATCAATAATATAAAAACTAATTCAGGTATATTAACTGAAGATCCTTCTGAAATTCAAAAAGTCTTCTCTGATTTTTTCAAATCAAAGTGGCGGCATAAAGACTGTTATCTGGAAGATTGGCCGAAGCCTTGGGATTCCATTTCAGAAGAAGACCAAAGGTGTTTAAATGTGGAAATCATGAAGGAAGAGATGCTGGCGGTGGTTAAGTCTTCAGGAAAGAACATTTCACCGGGAATTGATGGTATTACTTTCTCTTTTTTAAAATGCTATTGGAATATTATTCAGGAAGATGTTTGGTTAGCTATAAACCAATTTTTTTCTACTGGCATTATGCATAAGACTTGGAAGGAGACTATGATTGTGTTGATTCCTAAAATCAAAAGTCCTTTACTTCCGTCCAATTTTTTGTCCTATTAGTCTTTGTTTGACTATTTATAAATTAATTGCCAAAATGCTATTGTGTAGATTGGAGAGGGTGATTCATAAACTCATCTCTCCTGACCAAGTAGCTTTTATCAAAGGCCAATCCTTATCTGAACATGTTCTATTGGCAGAACAAGTATTTAACAAATTTTGATATTCTAAAGCTAGAAGTGCATTATTGGTTATCAAGATTGATATGGAGCAAGCCTATGATAGTATGGGGTGGCAAGCTGTAAGGCAAGTTCTTATGCACTTTAAATTTCCTATCAAATTCTCGGAGCTTTTAATGCAATGTGTATTAGATCCTAAATATTGCATTTTGATTAATGGGAAGAAGACCGATTGGATTATAGGCAAAAGTGGCTTTAGACAAGGATATCCCTTGTCTTCTTACTTGTTTATTTTATGCTCTCAAATCCTTTCTGATGCTCTCTATCTCCATAGAAGTGGAATGGGTATTTCTATTACTCCTAATGCTCCTAATGTTTCCCATTTACTTTATGCCGATGATATTCTTATTTTTTCAAAGGCAATTGTTAGTGAAGTGAAGGAGTTAAAAAATATTGTCACCAATTTTTGCAATTGGACTGGACAAACCGTTAATGCATCCAAATCTTTGATTATTTTTGGGAAACACGCTTATAGGAGAAAGAAGAACAAAATCTCTTCTATTCTTCAGTTCAACATTGTGAATGAATTTAATTATCTTGGTGTTAAGATGACTCTTAGAAGGACGATAGCTTCAGATTTTCAAAATCTGATGGACGTGGCCACCAACAAGTTGAACACGTGGGGGAATTTTATTTCTTTGGAAGGGAAGTTGGTTCTTGTAAAAACTGCTTTTCTTTGTCTTCCAATGTTCCTATCTTCTATATCTTTAGTTCCATTATCAATTCCCAAGGAATTTGATAAAATGTGTAGAAGCTATCTATGGAACAAAAGCAATGGGAGAACCGGTTTGCATTATGTATCTTGGGAATTATCATGTAAATCAAAAAAGGAAGGAGGAAGAGGTTTGTTCTCAGCTGTATCCAGAATAGGTCCACTTCAAGCTAAATTTGCTTGGGAATTCCTCATGAAGCCTAATTCTCTTCTCAATCAGATTATCAAAGGCAAGTATGGCAATGATATATGGACCAAGGAAAAAAAAAATCAACTGCTCTCCCACTTGGAAAATTATTACTAATGGAGCATCTTATCTTAATAAGTTTGTGAAATGGAAAGTTGTTAATGGATGATCTATCAATTGGATGCATGATGTTTGGATTCTTGATAAAAGCATATATAAGTGGCCTACGTTTGTAAATATGCTGAATCCTGTTGTTCACAACCTCAGTGTTTTCATCCACGACGGAGATTGGAATCTTAGCCTACTACAGGATCATTTTGGTAGGCAACTATTGGATGTTATTGTTCATATTCCCATAGTTACGGAAGAGACTGAAGATCAAATTGAATTGAAGAAGAAAGCTACGGGTAAACCCATTGCTGCTCTTTGTCTTGAAGCAAATTTTGATAGCAAACCGGAAGAATGTCACTGGAATTGGATGAAAGCTATTAAGCTAAGACCAACGATTGATTTATTTTGGTGGAGACTATACAACAAAGCTATACCTTCTTGTGATTTTTTAGTCAAAAGAAAAATTTCCAGCCAAACAAGTTGTCCGAGAGGTTGTATAGAGAATGAAGACAACTGTCATATAACTGCTAGATGCAATAAATTACAGAGATGTATCATCTTTCTTAATAGATGGGGGTTCAATATTCCGTTGTTTGAAGATTTTAAATCTTGTTTGGATGGATTAGACAAAGCTTCAACTACTAATCCATTGATGGCAAATATTTACTGCACAGCGGTTTTCTTAACCTGTAAGAGTAGATGCAAGCTTGTTCATGGGAAGATTGAAGATTCTGATTTTTATATTGCTGCAAACACTGTCTCATTAACCATGGTTAGTAATTTTATCAATATTCATCTGAAAAACTGGGATACTAATCAGCTCATGTTGTCTTCTTCTTGGTGTCCCCCTCCAACCGGTTGGATAAAGATAAATATTGATGCCTCGCTCAAAAGTAATTATTTAGCAGGTATTGGTGGCGTCATAAGGGATGATAAAGGCAGATCTTTATTAGCTTTTGGTACCCATTATTTGCATTGGGACATATCACAAGTGGAGTTAATGGAAGTTTACTACTTGAAGAATATATTGAGAGATTGGATGCATGAAGCTCAAGGAGTTATCATTGAAGGGGATAATCTCAATATCTTCAAAGTCCTTCAATCAAATTTGAAGAGATGGAAGAAAAATGGAAGTATTAAGGAGGATCTTGCTTTTATTCAAGAATTTAACCAGGTTCTTTTTTCTCATACTAGTAGATGTGGTAACAAATTAGCAGATTTTTGTGCTAATTTGGGTTGCAATAAGAGTTTTATTTGGGAAGAGGTTAATAATGTGGAAATCCCCCATTCCTTCTTTATTATTTTAAAGGAGGAATGTGATGGATTAGGAATGGGTTGAACTTTTCTTTAGCTTGTTTTTCTGTTGATTTTTTTATCAATGCTATTACGCATTCTCTTAAAAAAAAATTGGGAGTCATAAGGGGAGGCTGATTAGGAGTTATAAGTGGAGTAAGATACCCTTAAGATACTCTCTTATGAATATTTGAATATTATTACTGATAATGAAATTGTATAAATATTAATATTGCAAATACTAATCACTATTATTGATTGCTATTATTGATTATTATTACTTTTACTATGAATGACACTAAGAATACTGATATTATTATTGATACTCAATACTATTATTGATTATATGGCTATAACTAACAGATTGATGTGAGATAAATGGATGATAAGATTGAATGAAATTGATTAAGTGAAAAAGATCGACTAATTGATTGATTAGAGTTTATGATGAAAGAATGAAATAAAATTGATTGAGATATGATATATATACTAATTATTTATATAGATAACTAGTATATATACATTGATGCATATATTTTTATTTATATGATTTACAACATATTATTCTTTTTTACCTTGCATTAATTTTAGTTGTAAGATTTTGATTTCTTGATGGGCTATGTGCTCATTACGTTATTTTACATAATTTTAGGTAAAGATAAGGATTTAATGATATGAGGATCTAGACAACATTCATAATTCTTTTTATTGTTTATAAGAAATTGATAAGCTATAGTTAAATACTAAAATGAAAGACACATTCAATTCTTTGATGTAATGTTTGGATATGAATTGGTTGGTTAGCCAAGAATAGATTGAGGGAGGAGAAGAAGAGAAAGGAGAAAAAAAGATCATTGTATCATATTTGCCTTTCATTTCTATTTTTATATGATTTTATTTTATTTTTACTAGTTAAATATGCACATAAGCATTTTTGGATAAAACGAGTAGAAAAAGATAGACTAAAAATGGGTTGAAAAGTGGTACTATGATTTGACATGATAAAACTATAAGGTTATATGTATTGAAATGATTTATATAATATAGTTATGTAAGAATATTTACTACTAATTTGAATATAATATGATGTACTGATTGATATCGGATATATGATATGATGACCTCATATGATATCCTCAAGATTCATATAGTCCACTGACAGGAGTGAGTGGATGGGAGTTATAAGGAACTAAATATTGATTGGGAGTTACAAAGAACCAATATGATTGATTCACATGATTCAATAGGAGTTATAAGAAGCATATTGATTGAGAGTCATAAGGGGTGATTGATTGTGAGTTATAAGTGCAGGAGCAAGATACCCTCTTCTAAATATCTAATATTATTAATGATAGTAATGTAGTACATATATTAATATTACAAATAATAATCAATGTTACTGATTACTATTATTGATTACTGTTACTGTGACTGACACTGAGAATGATGATACTATTACTAATACAATTCTATTATTGATACTCAATACTTTTATTAATACTGTGACTATAATTGATAGATTGATGTGAGCTGAATGAATGATAAGATTGAATGAAATTAATTAAGTGATAAAGATCGACTGGCTAACTAATTTATTATAGCTTATGATGAAAGTTTGAAAAAGAACTAACTGAGATATGATATATGAATTGATTATTGATATAGATAACTGGTATACAGACATTGATGCATATATTTTTTTTATATGATTTATAACATACTATTCTTTTTTATCTTGTATTGATTTCATTTATTGGATTTTAATTACTTATTGGGCTACATGCTCATTATGTGATTTTAAATGATTTCAACTAAAGATAAGGATCATATGATACGAGCCTCTGGACATCATACATATTTTTCCTACTGTTCACAAGAAATTAGCAAGCTCTAGTTAAACGCTAAATTATAAAATAGATGCAATTCTTTCAATATATATTCCAGGGCATAATAACATGCCCCTCCACAATTTTTGTTAGATGTTAGTAGTGACAAAAGCTGTTATATATATATGAAGATGACCCTAAATGTACAACAATGCACTCATAAGGTGAAAGAAAGCTTTGGTGGTCAGGAGCCACGTACTGTCCTCCAATAAGCACCACAATGAATATGCTCATCTATGAACCTAATTAATTTATTATAAAGATAGTTGAAATTCAGGTAGAGATAAATGTGATACATTTAAAAAATTATATACACTTATTACAACCTAAAATGTACATAATTTATCCTAAGGATTATACTATTATTTTTTTTACTCTTACATATAGGTCTTAGTTATTTTAGGTTATATAAACTAGTTGTAAATAATTTGAACTTTTGTTGTTTAATCTCATGATTATGTATATTGTCTTTAAAAGTTTTTTTTGTGTTATTATTCATGGATCTTTTGCTATAAAATAATTGTTTTATTTCTTGTAAGTAAAGAATCCTACAAGCTATTTGATGTGGAATGTTTTTTGGAGAATTAATTTGATCTTATTTAAATTGTTTGTACATAATAATTATATTTTTAATTTAAAAGTAATTGAAAAAAATATAAAAATATTATAAAAATGGAATCTTATAGTCTCAGGCCCATTACTTATGTTCCATGCATGCTATTGATAAGTTTCTAAATAAATTTGTTTGCAAATCGCATGTCAACTTTAAAAATGGGTGAAAATAAGATTGGAGAGCATTTATTTAGTTCATAACCTCAAGGCCCAAGGGGAGATTCATATTGACATATATGGAGTGATTGCATCTTATAATTTATTTAAAATAATGATTTTGTTCCATGAATTTTTATGGGCCAATTTACGTTTTGGCAAACATATTTTGATGTATAAAAAGTAGAAATAGATACATAACAAAAAAAAAAAAAATCTATTTAGTCAAACACATATCTTGATGCAATTCTTATGTCTAAAAATTCCTAAGTCTTTAAACAAAAAACTTTCAATATTAACTTTGAGATTATATGAAGTTCATTTTCAACACATTTATAATCAAAACAAAGTATTGAAAAGGAAAATTCAGTAATATCAAGTTTTCTCAAGCCAAATGAAATTAAATCAACCAATCAAAAGTATAGTTAAAAAATTAAAGATATTATTTAAGAAACTAAACAATGTGTAAAGTTAGTATATGTTGTTAAACCTATGCAAATGTCAATTGGTAATTTTAAAAATTTTCTTCTTGAATTTTAATAGAAAATCGTATATAAATGAGCTTTTCAACCACAAATACAAAATGAAAAAAAAATTAAAGTGCGAAAATAAAAAAGATCACAAAGAGTTATAGTGGTTCGGTCCAACAAGACCTACATAAACTCCCTGAAGACTCCCTCTTCAGGTATTGCACTATTACCAAAGTGACTCTCATTTTGCCCCCACAGTAAGGCGAAGAAGCCTTTACAATTTTTCTCTCTTCCACCAATCCTCGGTGCGACAGAGTACCATCATCCTTTTACACCCTCCAAGTGTCAGCAGAGTACCGTCGTTCTTTCACACCCTCCAAGAGTTGGTAGAGTACCGGATCTTCTTCAAAGATCTTCTCCATAGCAACTATAAGAAGAAAGGAAGAGAAGTAACCAAAATGCAAAAGAGATTCTTACCTTTGAGTAACCTTGTGAACTCTTCACGCTCCACTTGCAAGAACTCTCTCTCAATCACTTTCCCTAAATTCTCTTTCACTTTCTCTCAAGGAATACATTTTTAAGACAATTTCTAAGGACTATTTATATAAAAGACACGAAAAACCGTCCAAAAAAATTAAAATTTTCAATTTTGAGCATACACGATCATATGGTACGATCGATATTCATCCCGGAAGAACAGTTCAAAATTGACTGGTATAATCCTATATGAAATGTTTTCATACAAGCCTATCGTACATTACGATATGTATATCATACAGTACGAACAGTTATAAAAAATTCATATTCGTATAAATGAAAATGTTCCCAACAATTTTGTACTTTGAATGTCGTATGTACAAAATTCAGATCATCCCGGTCGAACAGTTCAAAAAATTTGCATGTTCGTCTGGACGAAAATGTTCCCCACATTTTCGTAAACTAGACGTTGTCTGCATGAAAGATAGATCGCCCCGGACGAACAGTTCAAAAAATTTACATGTTCGTCTGGAATAAATTTTTTCCACATTTTTATACTTTGGATGTCATCTGTACTAAGCCAACTTTGTACAGTACAAACATTACTTATAAAAATTTTTTTACCCAATTTTTATTAACTATTCGCTGGAAGAAATAAACTGACCAAATCGTCCCGTATGAATGAAAATTGTACATTACGATTAATTTAAAAATTTATAAATTTTAAACGCTCGCCTAGTGTGTATGTGCATGGTTACTCAATTACAATTGCAGTCTCTCAGACTCAATAAAAGTGAAAATTACATACTCCATTTACAATAAACTCTAATCTATTATCCCTTGAAGTCTTCAATAGTCTGTAGTATGATTTCCCTAAAATGTTAGTACACATAAATAAAAAAAAAAATTATATCCAATATATCGTAAGGGAAATAGTAATTAAAACAATAATATTTGGAATGCTAAAAAACACACACAATACAAGAATCTCAATAATCGAAAAACTAAATTGCAACAATCTCCCCCTTTTTTATGATGGTGAAGTAATTACTGTTTGAGTTAACATTTACACCCTAAATTTCTTCATAGCTCCCCCTAAATGAATTAACATTTTTTAATATATGGATATTCCATGAAGAGTAGAAACATTGAAAGAGGAAAAACACTCAAAAACCCTAAACCAACAAAAAACACAAACAAAGACATGAAAAGAGACACGAACAATACAAAAAGAGACTTGACCACAAACTCAAACACAACGAAATCACAATGACAACGAAAGACACAAGCACAAAGACAAGCATAAATAACTACTAAACAAAAGACACAAACATGAACACAAATAATATTTTTCTCCCCCTTTTGCCAACAACAAAAAGGAAAGTGAAAATTGAAATAAAAGATGTCAAACAAGAAATCAAAAGAATTGATCTTAAAAATTATTTTAAAATAATTGCAATAAAACTATTAATTTCATAAGACTAAAAAGAAAGATTCAAAATTTTAAATCAAATAACAACTAAGATGAGAGAAGTTAATCAAGATCATGATTCAGTCTAGACAAAATAAATACAGATGATTATTGTAAAATTTATGAAATAAAGATTAGTTAACTTTAATTTCAATATAGATTATAATTGAAAAATTAGATTGATTTGAATTAGAGATTAAATGATAGTGGAAAGAACACAATAAAAACAAATTTCTATTGGCGATATTTCACATCTTTTTCAAATATGTGTGGCACACTTTGTGCATCTTTTTCTATTTGAGCTAGTTTTATGTCTCTTTTCACTTTGCGAACCCTTGCGCGAATTTTTAATTTTTTCACACATTATGCATTTCTTTTGTTATTCTTTGAGAGTCTTTCCAAAATCAGTAATTTAAAAAACAAACTTCTCTAATAACAAAAATAATCATATTGAAAAAGAAAATAAAGAAAATTATGACATAAAAACTATAATAACATTATTCTAATTATGTTTGCCTAAAAGAACATGAAATTAATCTTCGTAACTGAAACCATTTATAATTTAATTTGAATATTTTGAAAAATTAGATTTCGTAATGAAATTAATTTTGTAATGCAAGTTAATTTATACACATTTTTTAGATCAATTACATAAGACTTTTCATATAGGCATACTAACATTTCAAAATAAGAACAAAAACAAATTCACAAAACATGCCATTTTTTCATTGATATCAAAAGGATTTAAAAAGTATTAGTACAATGATATTAATTGATGATACTACAAAACAGCACACATAATCATCACATCAATAAACTTAACAACTAATAACAAAAATAACTAACATCAACTGAAAGAAAATACAACATCACATCACAAGCAAAAGTTTGATAGAAACAATATCAGAGAAGTACAACTAAAACTCAGAGGGACCCTGGTCTGGAGGAGGTGGCTGGCTGAACACTAAAAAATAGCTATTCATCATAACTACAATTGTGTTCACCAAGTCAAACTAACCTTAGATCCACCTCATATCTTCTTGATATCTTGTATCCTGCTGATTTAAAATGAGTCTCAATTTGATAAAATCATTGATCAAAATGAGTCTCCAACCAATCAAAACATTAAACCATCTCCTAAAAGTAATTTTGGTCTGGTCCTTGTGCAGGTGCTGGAGCTTCCCCTTCTTCAGAATCCTCACTAGAACTCTGGTCTCTCCCAAATAATGATCAGAATGAAGCATTGGTAAAATAGATTGGAAGTTTAGTGGGAGGATCAAGATGAATGATATTGTACTTCTTATCAAGGATATAGGTAACAAGCTGTCCTAAGGCCACATTCTTTTTCCTCTTTTGATGAGAATGACCAATCTCAAAAAGGTTTTGTAGATAATCCATAATGAGTTGGGATTCATCAATAGGTTTTTTATTCATGATAAGATATGTGACAGTGGATAGGAGTGGAGTAAAATTCACTTGATCACCAACTTTAGGAATAACAGAAGTTCTTAAAACTTGTTGGGTGATCCAGGCATTTTGGTTCAAGATATAGACTTTGGATAAATGATTGATTTAAGAAACAACTCTAAGAACTTTGTTAATTTTAGTCAAGTAAAAGTCAGACTTAGAGGTCATAGTGTGTGCTGTAATCCCTTGGGTTCTTAAATGAAGGTAGTTGCCTAAATCTTCTTTGATAATTTCCATGTGTCATCTTTGGACGAAAGAACTTATCATAGAATTATCTTCACTGACTCTCATGTTGAATAAAAAGTAATGAAAGGTATCTTTATGATATACATAGATAAGAGTCAGAATAAAGGATAGTTGAGTTGAGGCAAATAGAGGCATTACAGAAAAATGAAGATTATCTTGGATTAGCAGTCAAGATGGAGTGATCTTTGTACCAGTGTACCTAATGAATGCATCTTCATACTTCTTAGATAAGAAGTCAGGATCCCTAGCACTAGTTGAGGAAGAACCTTTGGAACCTCGAGGACGCTTGCTAGAACTGGCCATTTCTTAGACACAGGCTCTAAAGAGTTTTGAAGTGAAGATGAAAGTGAATGAAAATGAGTTTTAAAACCCTTATATATATATAGAAAAAATAAAAATCATACAATATGAAATTTTATTCATACATACAATTTTTGAAATCGTACGGGACGAACATTTTTTCGTACGCACGAACTAAAACTGCCAAAAAGGAAGCGGCTTTTTATAAATGGTATTCCAAGGCATCCTTTCATACATGCTTTTTGACCACATGATTGTATAGACGAACATGTGTTCGTCTGTGATAATAAAAAAATTTAAGATCGTTTTAAAGCTGGTTAGGTTTGTCCCCTACAAAATTTGACACCTGGATCGTACTGATAAAGATGATTTCGTATGTACGATCACCAATAAATAACTGAACCTAGCTAGTAAAATTGTCCCCATTCGTACAGATGAACCCATACTAATCGTACCATATGATGATTTCATCGTACGATACAAAACCATTAAAAATTTTGAGGTTTCACCTTTTTTATTCTCATAACAACCATGTATACGCTATAGAATTCGTATAGGATGAATATATATTCATACAATATGAATAGAACACACCAAAAATAATGCATGAAAGTTAAACAAATTTCTCTGAATTAAGTGACATGATTTCAGTTTTAACACATATAACAAATAAAAAATGAATCAAAAACTCAAAATCAAGATAAGACAAACTCACATAAACATCAAAATAAGCAACTAAAAAATAAAACTAAAACATACATAAACATATCAAGTTTGCAGAATATTTTAATTTTAATCATTAAGATCAATCAAACATAATCTTGTCCTTAAGGTGCTAAATGTGCCAAAGGCTAGAGGTTTTGTAAAAATATCTGCAAGTTGATTTTAAGAAAGAATATGATTCAATTTAATTTCTCTTTTGACTACATGATCCTTAATAAAATGATGTCTTATATCTATATATTTGGTTCTAGAATGTTGGATATGATTCTTTGAAATGAAAATGACACTAATATTATCATAATAAATTAGAATTATGCTTATTATAAATCCTAAATCAATCAACTGTTATTTCAATCAAAGTACTTGAGCCTCACAACTTCCCAAGGTAATGTATTCAGCTTCAGTAGTAGATAGAGCTACAGAATTTTAATTTCTACTAGACCAAAAAACTAAGGAATTTCTTATGAATTGGCAAGTTTTAGATATAGTCTTTCGATCAACCCTATAACCTATAAAATCTGAATCAGAATATCCAACAGTTTTAAATGAAGAGCTATACTTAGGATACCAAATTTTTAAGTTTTGAGTTCCCAAAAGATATCTTAAAATAATTTTTACTATTGTCAAATGTAATTCTTTTGGATCAGAATGAAACCTTGCATACAAACAAACACTAAACATTATATCTGGTATGCTAGCAGTTAAATAAAAAAATGATCCAATTATACCTCTAAATTTCTTTTGATCAATAGATTTTTCTTTTGGGTCCTTATCCAACTGAATTGAGGAACTCATTGGTGTAGTTATTGGTTTAGCATTGTCCATTTTATATTTTTGAGGATGCCCTTAATATATGACTAACTAAGAAAAGTTCCCTCCTCAATTTCCTTAATGCTAAAACTAAGAAAATAACTTAGATCTCCCATTAAACTTATCTCAAATTCACCACTCATTATCTTAAAAAAAAGCATCATAAAATTTTTTATTTGTAGATCCAAAAATGATATCATCAACATGTATCTGAACAATGAGTATATCATCTCCTAATTTCTTTAAAAAGAGAGTGGTGTCCACATATCCTTTTACGAAAGATCTCTCTAATATAAAAGTACTTAACCTCTCATACCAAGCCCTAGGTGTCTATTTCAATCAATATAATGCCATTTTTAATTTATATAAATGATTAGAGAATTTTGAATTTTCAAACCCTAGAGGTTGCTCAACATTAATATCCTTTTTTATCACCCCATTTAAAAAGTCACTCTTAACATTCATTTGAAATAATTTAAAACCTCTAAAACATGCAAAGACTAACAAAACCCTAATTGATTCAAGTATAACTATAGGGGCAAAATGTCTCTTCAAAATCAATGCCTTCAATTTGATTATACCTCTTTTCCACAAATCTAGCTTTATTTCTAATCAAAACTGTTGAATCATTCATTTTATTTTTAAACACCCACTTAGTTCTAACTATACTTTGATCCATTGGCCATTCAATCAATTCCCAAACATCATTCCTTACAAATTAATTGAACTCCTCTTGCATGGCTAAAATCTAAAATTCATCCGAAAGTGTTTGATTAACATTTATGGGTTCAATCATAGAAATAAAGGCAGAATGGTTAAACTCTTTGCTAAGTCCATGCCTAATCCTAACACCCTCTCTAGGTTCACCTATAATTAATTCCTTAGGGCAATTTTTAGAAAATTTTAATTTTCTAGGCAAAAGATTTTCTATCTCCAAATTTTCTTCTAAGTTTATCTTTTCAATCCTTTGGAAGCTATTTTCTATATGATTCTCTTCCAAATTTGGCTCTTTCAAAATGCTAGATTCATTAAATACAATATGTGAGATCTCCTCAAGCACCAAAATTTTTTTATTAAACACTCTATATGATTTTACAACACTAGAGTATCCAAGAAAAATTTTTTCATTTGATTTTGGATCAAATTTTCCTAAATGAAATTTTCTATTATTATGTATGAACACCTTACATAAAAAAACATGTAAATATGATAAATTTGGTGTTCTCCCCTTAAGAAGCTCATAGGGAATTTTATTGAATTTTGATCTAATGTTCACCCTATTCAGAACATAACAAGATGTATTAACCACTTTAGCCCAAAAATATTTTGGAAGAGAATATTTTGCCAACATGGCTCAAGTGGCTTTAATTAATGTTTTGTTCTTTATTTCAACTACCCCATTTTGCTGAGGGATCCTAGGTACAGAAAAATTGTGATCAATTTCTTTTTTTAATAAAATTTCTCAAATTTTTCATTTTCAAATTCACCTCCATAATCACTTTGTATTGTTAAAATTTCACATCTTAGTTTTCTCTGAATCCAAGTCAAAAAGTTTCTAAATTTCTCAAATGATTCACTCTTATGAAATAAAAATTTAGCCCATTTGAATCTTGAAAGTCATCAATAATTATAAATCCATATACCTTCCCTCCTAAACTTATAGTGCTAACCGGTCCAAAAAGATTCATATGAATAATCTTCAATAGTTTGCTAGTTCTAAGATCCTTAGTGGAATGAAATGAGGACTTCATCTATTTTCCTAGTTGACATGCATCACAAAGGCGGTCCTTAGTAAAGTCTAGTTTTTATATACCTCTAACAAGTTTGTTTTGGGTAATTTTTCGAAGGTTTTTCATGCTAGCAAGATAAAATCTCCTATGTCATAACCATGATTCACAAGAAATTATTTTAAACAAAAAGCATTAAGAGTTTTAATACAATTTAAATCTAGCATATACACATTAATTATCTTATTTCCATGTAGTACATCGATTCCATTTTGGCTTAATATGCAGTTAGTGTTAAAAAATTTAACATTATATCTTCTATCATATAACTGACTAATACTCAAGAGATTATGCTTTAAGCCTTCAACGAGTAATAAATTTTTAATAAAAAAAATTGTTCAAGTTGCTAATCATATCGGTGCCTACCACTTTCCTAGTGGTATTATCTCCTAATATAACTTTGCTTAATTCATGGCTTCCAGCGATATAAATTGAGTAGTGTCTGCAGTCATATGCTTCGAGCAACCGCTGTCCAAGTACTAAATTCTCTCATGAGGTCTTGTATAAGAGCGTTTCTACAAAAAGATCAAACGTTAGTTTTGGGAACCTAAACAAGTTTGGGTTCTCCTCTTGGCAAAATTAATTTAGATGCATGTATGATATGTCTCGTTTATGCATCTTTGGTCTCCACACTAGATATAATTTTCTATGAATAGTGCAAGTGTGAGATATGTGCCCAATCATACCACAAGAAAAACATTTAATTCCTGGAAAATGATTTTTCAATTTATTAGAGTAAACTTGTCTTTTCCTAGGTTTGATGATTTTTGTATTTTTGTCAGGATTAAAAAATTATTCATGTGTAGGTGGAATCCTATTCTTTTCATATGCATTCAATTGTGCTTTAAAGAATAAATTAGCACTTTCTAACA